GATTGCCTCAGGGTCACAATACGGTTGCTGAAGCTCCAGCCATGACGTTTTCCACGTAGGAAGAAAACATAAAGGGGTAGAGACACAGGAGTGTACCTCTCAGCTTTAAAGAGCTCTCCCAGAAGCTCCAACCAATGGCTTCTACTAATATCTCATGGCCATTATATCTTCAAGAGAAGCTGGGAAATGTAGTTTTTTAGCAGGGCATATCACCACCCACAACAATATAAGGTCCTGTTATTAAGAAAAAGGCGAATGGATGCTGTGTGGGCGACTAGCAGTGTCTGCCACACTCGGGAAATCCGCACACATTCTGCTGACCACGTTTCCCTGATCCAGCCACCACCTCCTCCTATCACAGAGAGGAGAAGGTCAGTCTGGTGCTACTTGCATGCTGAGGCCCAGAATTTAACTGCCTCACCCAACAGCACACAACCACAGCCCCTCCTTTGAGCAGGTGAGTCAAATGCAGGCCTGCAGGGCAGGACCCAGACCTAGTTGCTCTCCCAGCACCGGGGCAGGTTCCAGCACAGAGTAGATACCTGGCTCCACGCCCATCCAAAGGGGAATGCGTGAGGGTCCCAGGGCTGCGGGCAAGCTGGACGGGCAGCCCGGCCAGGACCCAGCCCGCCAGGAGAGGCTGGTTCTGCGCCTCCGTTTCTAGCCTTGCTCCAGGGCCAGCTCCAGGTCCCCGAGTTCTCCCACTGCTGCTCTGGTCCCCCTGCCACAGGATGGAGCTGGAGGGCCCTGCTGAGGATGACCCCACACTGGGCCCACAGAGGAGAAAGGCTGCAGATGGGGGCAGGGGGCAGGGCAGGATGCCGAGGCCTGGTGCCAGGCTGCGTCCCAGGAAAGGAAGGAGAAAGGCAGATGGTATCGTGCCCTTACTCACCATCCAGCATGCTCCTTACCTACTTCATTCTGCTGCCCCTCAACTTACCGAAAGCGTGACACTGGCTCTGTGCTAAGTACTATAACATGCATTATCCTCTTTTATGCCAGCAATGACCCTGGAGATCAGAATCCCTTTTCTAGATGAGAAAACTGAGGTCAAATAAGTTGCCCAGGTTCTCACGGCCGGTAAGGGGGAGAGATGGGGCTCTAAACCAGGCCAGTCTGACTCCACAGCCTCCCAGCCACGAGGCTGCACTGCGCCCCTGTGCTGAGTGGAGGCCCACTGGGGGTCCCCTTCGGCTTCCCTCCTGGTGAGTGAGGCTGGCAGACAGTGTGCCCTGTGCTTCCAGAGCCTGGCCGAGCCGCCCAATGAAGAGCCAAGGACCACAGCACACCGGGCCCAAGGCCCCGCCCTCCAGAACTTACACCCGGAGATTCAGCGATGAGTCCCTTAGTCCTGGGCCTGGGCTCCGGGGCTAGCCCAGACCCAGGGAGGAGGCCAGGCCATCCCGCAGGAAAGCGCAGTCAGTGTATACCAAGCGCAGGGCTCTGTGCCTCCTCGCCAAATCCCTTCCCGGGAAATCCCTCTAGGCTGGCTCTAGGGGAATAATTCTGTATATTCGGAACCTTCCTGGAGACCACAAGGCGTATCCAGCCGACCCTGCACAAGACGGCACCGTTTGGCAGAAACTAAACACACACTAAAGGTGCACGCTATGGAACATCACACAGCAGCTAAAGGGCGTGAGTCAGAAACGCCAATAGAAACGGCACAGTAATCTGCCATTTCAGAACCTGGATCAAGGCGTTTCTACGCAACCCGATGACTTTTGTTTACAGCTGTCAAGTACACATGTGTAAGTTCCTTGTTAGACAGTATGTCAAGAGCCTTACAGTGTTGTGCGGCCTTGGGTGAATAAATGATATATTTAAACTGCATTTGCCATTATTTCAACCTAAAAAGTGGAGGACTGGCCGGGCGCGGTGGCTCACGGCTGTAATCCTAGCTCTCTGGGAGGCCGAGGCGGGCGGATTGTTTGAGCTCAGGAGTTCAAGGCCAGCCTGAGCAAGAGCGAGACCCCGTCTCTACTAAAA